ATCTAGATCCTTCCAAACCGTCTGATGGTGCAGAAAACTTCAAGAGTGACAATGTCGAGACCCCATCTTTCAATGAGGACGAGATCGACTACGGTCGTGATTCTGATCTAGAAGATGAAGACGAACGAAACGTGATCATCGAGATCCAGAGGAGCACACAACAATATGAGGGGAAGAAACGTCAAGATGGTGAGCCCGAGGATGAAGACGTCACCGACGACTTACATCCGGAGGCGAATCGACCGACAGATCGTGATGAACCGGGATACTATGCACAGCATGGAGCGACCGAGTTCAATCCCGAAGAAGGAAGAGACAACGAAGATCTCCCCATCTATTGTCGAGTACCGGAACCTCGAATCTATGCGCATCAAGAGAGAGCCTACTGTCAGGACGTCTCCGTGAATGCATCGGGTTTGATGGATAGGTATGTGGTCAAATGTGTGCTGAACATGATCTCCCTGATGTACAAGAGCTACTATTGCACCAGCCTTACCGATTTCAAAGCAAATTGGAAAAGGAAGCGTCTGGATGTGATAAGCAAGTTCGGTACAGGAGATTCCACTGAAATCGATGACGATGGGAGACCATTGGATCCAACAGATGATATGATGTTAATCTTTGCCAACGACAACAATATTACAACTGAGGAGGCCTGGCACCGATTCAGAGGAGAGCAATTCATTTGCAAGGTGGCACTCGTGATCCTATCATTTGGTCATACTCCGTACTCCTTCAAGAAGGAATATGGCAACTTCGAATACTCCACCAACTTGACTGACGTCCAGCTTGAGGAGTTGAAAGCGAAGAAAGCCAGCGCAATGACTGAATTGGTACAGAAGTGCATCCATGCGATTTATGGTTGTCGGACATATTCTTACTTTAGAACCGACGTTACATCACCCAACCACAAGGTGATCGATCCTCTGGACATCATGTACTCGAGAATGAAGAGCAAATGGGAGAAGTCTATTCTGCTGATCATTAATCAACATGAGATCAGGTTGCCCCCACACGCTCAGAATGTCGTAGAGTCAATGGCCAGAAATCCCAACATTGGACATACAGAGAGATGGATGAGCGTGGTAGAACAGAAGCATGTTCAAGCTCTTACCGATCGTCTAGGCTTTGGAGATAGGGCCAAGGAGATTCAGGGCAAGAAGAAGCAGGCAGCCAAGGCAACAGCTAAGTCAACATCAACGACTAAGTCTGAAGCGAAAGCAGCATCTTCGTCAAGAGCTGAGGCAAAGCCAGCATCTACACCCAGAACCGAGGCCAAGCCGTCGTCAGCACCAAGTGAGGAGCCAAAACCTTCAACAGCACCTAAGAGTTTCGGGCCCTCATCAGCAGAAGAGAGCAAGGCGAAGGCTGCTCCAAAAGCCAGACCACATGATAAATCACCATCCAGTGCTACCGATGTGTTTGAGCAAGCTTTGCAGGAAGATCTTGCCGCCAACGCACATGCAGCAGAAGGTACAACTTCCTCATCATCCCGAGGACATTCCAAAGGAGGAGGCCAATCTGGAACATCTTGGAGGCCGGCGCTAACGCAAGAACGTCGCGAAGTACCTCAACCTTCTGAAAAGGGGAAGGGAAAGAGCAAGTCCAAGGGAAAGTCCAAGAAGGGAGAAGATGATCGGCGGGATGCTCAGGGCAGCTGGGATCATCGTGGATGGAGAGGTTATCGCCAGTGGTGATTTCTTTGAACGACTATGAGGATACCATGCAAACCAGGGAGGAAATCATTCACCGGATGTTTATCCGACCTGAAACGCTGTAAGTGTATCATTGCAAATTCGGATTGACGATTTGATACCATGAGCATAATGGAAGGAAGACAATCACCGACTGTCTCTCCGACTTGCCGTTCTGTAAGTGTATCCAAACCAAAACCTACATCTTTTGAGAAGTGTGAAGTCAGTTGCCGATGTGACATCTACGTGGAAGTCACCAGTTCGGATCTACATCAAAGCGATGCTCTTTTGAGTGGATACTGAGCGAGGCCTCGTGACTGTCTCACTTGTTCAATTCGATTTTCATAGGTTCTGAGCCATAGTTGCACACTTTATATGTAAAAGTCCGCTTTAGTCCAGCATGTTTCGTAGTATGAGCCTCATATGAGTCTCGCGGCAAATCATACAATTTCTTTTGTAGCACTTACATCCCTAAATTTTCGTGTGTGATCGGAACATATTGTTGCCGTTCACATGGGGGGTGCGAATGGAAGTGCAGCGACATGTACAGTGCAACTTGTACATATATATGTACCATATGTACTTTGGCTCAAGGATCAAGCGACTAGAAAAGGTGCGGTTTCCGTTCCGACGCTACGCCGCTTATGGACCGTCAGTGATAGCTTCAAACTTCGCTGATTAAGATCCACTCGCACATTCCAAAGCATACCTGTTGTAAGCCACGCGGGTGTAAAAATTAGAGCAGGAAGGTGCCATTCCAAAGCATTCCGTTTGTGCACCACGCAGGGGTTAAGGTTAAGCCCAGCAACGAAGCAAGCAACGAACCCGCCATATGCCATAGGCTTTCCAGGAACCAACGAAGCCACTAGACTTGGCTTACATTGCGGGGGAGGGCGCAGCGCCCTCCCCCGCACCCCCTCCCGCTTATTTTCAAGGAGATCAAAACAACAAAGCAACCCAGGAAGGTATACTACCTTGGAATTGCACCTTCCCCCTCTAAATTTGACCCACAAACTAATATGATGTCGCATGCACGTTACATATAAACAGACTTCTATCGAACGCCCGAATCTATTCCACTGTGCGAAAAGATTATATTCCAAGGTGTAGCATACCTTTTCTGAGCCACGCGGGGGTTAGATTTGGAGGAAGAAGGTGCCATTCCAAGGTAGCATAGCTTTTGTGAACCACGGGGGAGTACAATTTAGAGGAGGAAGGCCTAATTCCAAAGCATACCTTTTGTCAGCCATGCAGGGGTTAAGTTTAGAGCAAGAAGGTGCCACTCCAAGGTAGCGTACCTTTTGTAAGCCACGCGGGGGTGAAATCTAGAGGAGGAACGTGCTATACCAAAGCACACCTTCTGTGGGCCAGGCGAGGATAACATTTAGAGCAGGAAGCTCCCATGCCAAGGTAGCATACCTTTTGCAAGCCACGCGCGGCTTAAATTTAGAGCAGGAAGGTGCCATTCCAAGGTAGCATACCTTTTGTGAGCCACGTGGGGGTAAAATTTTGAGCAGCAAGGTGCAGTTCCAGAGCATGCCGTTTGTGAGCCACGCGGGGTTACGCCAACCGACGCAGCGACCAACGAACTCTAGCAACCAACGAGCCCCACCAACGAAGCCACTAGACTTGGATTACATTGCGGGGGAGGCGCTGCGCCCTCCCCAACGCCCCCTCCCGCTTTTTTTTCAACGAGATCCCAACAACAAAGCAACCCAGGAAGGCATACTACCTTGGAATGGCACCTTCCTCCTCTAAAATCGACCCTTGCGTGCACGTTACAGAGTTCTATCGAACGCCGGAATCTATTCCACAGGGCCGAATCATGTGTTCCAAAATGAGCCTTCTCCCAACCAAGAAGAAAACACACCTGAAGAAAAAACAACTAACAAAAAACACCAGAGGAAAAAAACGCAAACAAAAAAAACTCCAGAAGAAAAGAACCGCGTTCCAAATTGAGACCAATCGCCCGCGTTGCAAATTGAAACCACTTGCGCGTTCCAAAACGCGGCCGTTCCCCCAACCTACGGGAGGTAGGTTGGAGGCCATCGCCCTAATAAATCTCTCTAAATCTATGCAGCAACCTCCTGGACTATTAAAAATCACGATCATGTGGCCAAAAAGACTGAGAAACAGTGGAACATGTGGCGTCAACCACCAAAGAGGCTTCACCGGAGCCCATCACCTCAGGTGCAGCTGGAAGCCTTGTGTGATCATAGTCCAGCTGCGTATGTGGGCGCTCCCAACTGTTCCAGGCCAGGTCGTGGCATCATGACCAAATCCACCTAGTCTTAGCTGGTGGTTTGGATAGACTGGGGCTGCCCATATTCAGAAATTGAAAGGCAGCCAAGTGGGTGCAGGGAATCCCAAACCACTTGTTAGACCAAGTCCTCCAAGCCAGAGGACTCCTCGCGTTTCAAAAAGAGGTCCTGGAGCTGTTGTTTCACGCACACATCCCTTGGAGGATATTGATGTTCATGCACAGAGCTGGATATTCATGCCGATGGCTAGAGGAAGAGAGGCCGCTGAGTTGTGGTCGGCCAGGAGCTTCGATTTGCAAGACATGCAAGGGTTGCTTGGATGTTCTCTAATTGTGTATTGACAGAAGAAGCTACTAGTAGCAAGGTGCAATCGCTACTAGTAGCTACTAGTAGCAAGGCACCTAGTAACACGAAGGTACTCTCAATGAAGTAATTAGTAGCTATCCTCCCTCTCACTTTCACAGACTTTGGAAGCTGGTCTTGTACGGGGAAATTTGTCCAATCCGTAGTGGCAATGTTGAAGCAAAGTAAATGATTCACACCATGTTGCTGTTTTACACTCCCTGAAATAATCATGGAAGTGGAAAATGGCCTCCTTGGATGGCCATCGTCTTCTTTACATCTCTTTACATCTTTTTACAGGGGGTTATTCCCTTCCATGATTATATACTTATATACATTTCAGGATGTGTTTTTTGTAGCTTTGTCAGGGGGTTCTGTTCTTGACCAACGGCATCTTAGCCGAGGTGAGATTGATCTCTACTTTGTTCGCATGGACCGAGGCGGAAAAAGAGGATTCCGCAGGCTGCGCTCACAAAATTGGATTTGTCTCAAAATGACAGAGTGACCAGGTACCCCTGGTAGAAAGGAAGATAATCCAGAACGGCAGCTGGGGCAGTCAGCTGTTCGGTCTGTACACTCCTATATTCACAATCATGTCTTGGCAGGTTTGCAGTCGAGATTGATCCTTCTTGGAAGGTCAAGTCAACTTTTCGAGGGCACCGAATCACATGCGACCCTTGTAAACGGGCGACGGATCACCAAGGCCGCATTGCCAAGTTAGACCACCTCGTCAAGTCAGAGAAGTGGCCGCAAGGAGTTCTCACCACTGAAGACGGACTCTTGGCGAACTTCGCAGAAAAATGGTCGTTGCTGAATGTGTTCTTCTATGTTCTTCTGTTTTTTCCCGAGGATTTTGACGGCATAGGGATTTTGTGCAGGTTGTTGTGAGACCTTCTCCGCCACATTGATGGAGTTAGAAACAGCTAGGCTGGTACGCGGTTAAGTCCACAAATTCTGACATTGGAACCCAAGAACAGGATGTTGCGCACTGCTCAAATTTGACATGCACTTGGCCGAAAAGATGAGACATTTCATGAGCAGATCACAAGACATCGGAGTCATCGGAGATTCCAAGTTTGACTCACAATCAAGTTATAGGCTTATAGGATAGGCCTATTATACTCAAGATGACTCAATAAAGTTTATATGTTCTTGGCCTCGAAGAGGAAGGTTGGAGCCTGAGGCCTCTTCTACGTATGTCACTTCCAGGGGGAAGTACTGGTGTGTTTTGTCTGCATGGATTTTTTGAGGCTGTGCTTGAATGTGTTCTTTTTTGTTTGCAAACAATGTGGACACCATAGAGGTTATTAACGTTGGTTTTGATCGAGGGCACTCACATGTGGTCACTGGCGTGTCCAGCAAATTCGCTGCTGTGTGCAGCTCTTCAAAGTGCTTCTTGACTGCGCAGGCTCGCGCAAACCGTATGGCAGGTGCTCTTCTCGACTGTGTTCTCATTGTGGTGCCGTGCACATTTTTCCGATTTGGTGGCCACTTTTCGTGGCAGGCGCAAGAGAATCCTCGTGTTTTCGTTGTTTCAAGTCGACTTTTCGTGGCAGGTGCCGGAGATATAGGAACCAACTTCGATGTGTAGATTTCGTTGCAGGCGCAGCACTTTGGATATGGTGGTGATCTTTGGTGTGCTCTGACTTCGTGGCAGGTGCAGCGACTCGTGAACTTTGGACATGTGGCGCGCTTTCAAGGTTCGCTTTGGCATCTCGAACGTGTCTTTGGAAGTGCTTCTGTTGTATTCTGTTGTGAAACTCACTGGCAGTGCTGCGTGATGTGAATCATGAAATCTAGATTCGTGTGACAGGCGCAGTTGTGTGCTCTAATTTGTGTATCTCACCTGCGCAATCGCATGTGTGCATTATGTGTGCTCTCTCATGCGTGCGCTCTCAAATGTGCGCTCTTATACGAGTGTTCTCCCATGTGTGCTCTCTCCGTGCGCTCTCACATGTGTTTTATGTGTGTGCTCTAGAGTATTCTATGGTGCGGAAGTTCGCTCATTATTCAACCGTGTAAAACTGTTTCGTTTTTTGTTGAATATTTTGCCAGGATTGTGGGTCTTTCACTCGCCAAGGACTTTTTCTGATAGAATGTAGCAAAGCCTCCCCTGATGTAAGCAATGAGTGTGATGAGTGGTGAAGCCTTGTGGCAACTGTGTTTACCGGGCGAGAAAAATCCTGAAGTTAGGTCATGGAACTGCCACAAACAATCCCTAAGTCATGGGCGTCCGTGAGGAAGATTCGATTCCTTCAAAAACCCAGAACCACGGAAAGAAGGTCATCACTTTGTTTTGGCTGAGACCACCAGCCGAAACCAACACGCGTAATATGACGTTGGTGTCAAGAAATGGTGTCATATCGCTCGAAACCTCACACGTCTGTCTCCCCATACCAGGCGAAGGCATCCACCAAAGAGCAGAAATGTTCAGTGGATTTGAGTTGCAAGAGGTATTTGGTGATAGCAGCAACTCAGGAGCACCACACTACCAACAAGCATTTATTGGGTGTTACAAATGTGACTGCCGCCACTGCCAAGGCTAAACCAGGAGCTCGAAAATGTGCGGAAGGCACTCCTCCCAAGGGAAGTGAGTAACCCGCAATTGGGCTGCAGCCAGAAGACGTTCCAAGTCTTGGCCTTGATGGACACAGAATTGTCAGATGTGGTTCCCTTAGTCAGGGTGGCGCAGGCCGATTGAACATAATATATTTGTATATATTTATTTAATATTATTTAGTAAATATATACATATATGTACATACGTGGTGGAACCACTTCCAGTTCGTGGACTGATTTCTCAGCACATAGTTTCAAAACTACTCATGTCCAAATAGATTGTCCAGCAGAGATGACCTGTGTATGTAACGAACCTGCATCTAAAGTCTAAAAATATTGTGTTCAAGCTGCTTGGCTTCCAATTGTCTTGCGGCCGTTCCTCTATACATGAAAGTGTCCGCTGTTTTGAACGTGAAGGTATTTTGGCAGCCCAAGTGAAAGTTTTCAGATATATGGCCATTGGCCATTGGCTGCACTTGAAAGGTTTTGAAGTCGAAACCTAGGAGCCAGATGGCCATGGCACCCAACGGCGATTTGGTTTTGGCCTGCGGCGATGGGAGGTGCGACCTGGAGCGATCTGGGCTCCGGCTCGAATCCATCTGAATGGAGAGCTGGGAACGGTTGGGGCATCGGTTGAAATTGATGGGAGTTGGTGGAAAACCCCGTGATAAGTCTTTCGCGGAAAAAACATATACTTTCGCGAGCCTCATCGCGAATCATTTCGCGGATGGTTCTAACAACAT